TTGCAACGTTTCTCTGGGAGTGTATAGCTCTCGTATGAACTAGGATAAAGCCAATCGGTGAAGATCTTCCTTATTTTTTAACTTGGTTTTTATTGTAAAAAATCCGCGATTTTTCAAAAATATTTTTTCAAAGGGCCACCATTTTCTTAATTTTAGAGCGAAGTCAATAATCCTAGTTTGCATACGAGAGTCAGACATGTACTCTTTTTAACACCGTTGGAATTTTTTCCGATGTTCCATATTGAGTTTCATGCCCGCCATCAAAAATAAGGACTTTTCTTTAATTACAAAAAACAACAACAAAACAATAACAATTTTTTTTTGTAAATTATTTTTCTTCTCTTTTAAATCTTCAATTATATATGTGCAAAGTTACAAACCTTAACAAGCATTGGTATTGATTTACCAGCCCATTGAAAATCTTGAAAAATATAGATTATTAAATAAAAATATTTTTTCATAAATTTATAAACATATTACTAACCCCCTTTCTTTCTTCTTTAATTTTCAGACAAGTGGTGAGTTCCATATATGATGGCCATCTGGCACAACTTGATTATAAAACAAAAACTCGGGACGCAGTTAAATATATCAATGCGTGGTCAAATGAAAACACTAATGGAAAAATACCCGAATTGATAAAGGCGGGTATTCCGTCGACAACGAATATAATTTTAGCCAGTACTCTGTACTTTAGAGGTTTTTGGCAAACACCATTCTTTCCACGTTCTACCAGAGAGGATAACTTCTATCAGGATGGTCCAAACACCAAACCAATACGTGCCCTGCTAATGGCAACGGGTGGCCTTTTCCCCTTTTATAACGCCAAAGAATATGATTGTCGAATTATTGGTATGCCATATAAGGGCAATGAAACCACCATGTATATTATTCAACCGAATGATTCGACACGTCTGAAACTGAGAGGTCTACTGAGTGTTTTGGATGCACGTAAAATAAACGATATGATTGATAAAATGACATTGAAAACAACGGTTATGGTATTCCCGAAAATGCATTTTACCCGTACCATGACACTGAATGATATCCTACCGGCCATGGGGGTGGCAAGTGTCTTTAATCCTGGTCTAAGTGATTTATCACTAATTGGTGGTAGGAATACAGCAACACCATTGCCTGCTTTGAGTACTCGTCGCAAACCTTTATTTTCGTCGGTGGCAACACCAGTTGTACAAGCCATAACTACTCCCGGACGTAAAGGATTAGCAGCTGCAAGTCCACAGTTTTATGATAGATATAATGAAAAACCTTTAATATTCTCTCGTTTTGGCGAAGAAGAAGAAGAGGGGGAAGGAGAAAGTGCAGCAACGACCACTGAAAATCCCGATATGGAAAATATAAAAGAAACTACTCCCGCTGCTGATCATGCTATCGAAAAAAGACAAGTTTCCTTCCCTGACCCAAATCTACAAGCTTTACATAATCTCGAAGCAGCTCGTAACACTTATGATGGCTTTCATTCGGATCTCTTTGTTAACGAAATAATACACAAAGTTGATTTTGCTGTCGACGAACAGGGTACTGAAGCTGCAGCAGCTACTGCTGCATATTTATATCGTTCCGGTACCGATGTTGTATTCCGTGGTGATACTCCATTCCTTATATTGATACGACATGATCACACCAAAATGCCACTGTTCTATGGTGTCATAAATAAACCGGAATTATAGAGAATTAAGGACTGGTGCGATACGAGTTTTTCCTTTTTATTTTATTAAAAATTAAATTAGTTGTTAAGAATAATCAAAAGATTTGTTCAATGATTTTATTGCTATTTCTTTAGATGTTATAATTTATATTTGTATGTATGTAATTGTATATATTCCTAGTATATACGAGCAGTGTCTCCAAAGGTTTGCCATATGCGAACTGTTTTTTATATTGTTTAAAATAAAAAACAAAAATAAGACTACACTTTCGTAGTTATTAAAAGCATGTTCTCTAAAATAATTGACATTGGACGATCAATAGGTGTTGTTGAACAATACTTGAGGTGTTACTATTTTTAAGATTGGCGATTGGAGAATAGTAATACCTCTGTTTTCCACTACAGCTTCCACGAAGACCAATCCAAAAATCTTTATGTTATTCTTTAAAAATTGTAATAATCTAACGATGCACACCTCAGGTGGAGGATACAAAACTGTTTTTTTGTAGGCAGTACAAAAACATTTTTTTTTTCACTGGCCTTCGGATCTCATTTCATTTATTACGAAACTTACCAATCCGATATCGATATGAAGGCTAGAAATTCATAAAAAATAACCCTTGCAAACGTTACATGTTAATAGACAAGACTTAAAAAGACCTGCATAATCCTTCGCACATGCAAGAATGCAGTAAAGGAAGACATATATTCAATTCATGGAATGTTATATTTTCATTTTATGAGGGTTTTTCTAACCCTAATCATTAAACTATTTTGGAAAAAGTATATAGCTCTTAAATGATAATGGGACAAAAATGTTCCTAATAGAATGTGTTTGGCCCCTTCTTGCAAATTAATCAAATTAGGTGCGATTCATTTACAAAATATTCTCTGAAAATTTTAGGTCTGAAAATTCTATAATTTTGAAAAATACAATTTAAGGATCGACGCAATAGACCCAATTGTTTATAAATTAATTATAAATTGACGCTTACAAAATCGATGCGCATAGTTCCAATATATATTTTTGAAATAAAAACGCGCTTATAGCGAATTAAAAAAAAAACCAATCGAAAATTTATGAAAAATGGAATGCCAATCATCGAGAAAAAAATGTAAAAGATCTTTATATTAATGGACGTATTTGAGCAACCGTTTTACATAAAATCAGAGGAAACTATATATGGTAGCTATATCTAAATCTGAACAGATTTCAACAAAATTTTGCATACATAATCTTGGACAAATGGACAAAATTTTGTGCTAATCGGCCTAAGTATGACTTTTTGGTGCTCCCTTTACATAATGGATTCCAACAAAACTTCGCATACATCAATCAGTACCTAATCCAATACTCTGTGCAAAATTTTGTCTCAATATATATATATGGGATCTATATCTAAATCTCAACCGATTTCAACAAAACTTCGCATACATAAATTTTGACCTAATTAACTACCTTCCGCAAAATTTTTTCTCAATCGGCCTAAATTTGACTCTTTGGTGCTCCATTTACATAAAATCGAACGAAACTATATATGGGAGCTATTCTAAATCTGAACTGATTTCAACAAAACTTCGCATACATAAATGTGGTGGCCTAATTCAATACTCTGTGCAAAATTTTGTCTCAATCGGACAAATATTGGCAGTATAGTGCTCCATTTACATAAAATCGGACGAAACTATATGTGGGAGCTATATCTAAATCTGAACCGATTTTCTTAAATTTCAATAGGGTTCGTCCTTAGTCCAAATAAGTGACATGTGACAAATTTCATCCTAATCGGATCATAAATGCGACCCGTAGTTTGTTCACAAAAATAAATGGACAGACAGACGGACATGCATAAAAAAGTGATTCTGTGCATATTCTCAAAAGGAACCATGGGTCTATCTCGATTCCTTTTGTCTGTTACAAACATATGCTCAAAGACATAATACCCTGTATCACAGTATGGTAAAGGGTATCAACAAGTTTTAAAATTCCATTGAAAGAATTTTAGTGTTATGTGTTGTCTGGTTCTGGCTTCTCTATATGGGTGTATATGCAGCTGCTATGAATGATCTCCAAATGTAGTATTCGTACGGTATTGCTCTACAGCCTGGCAGACTCCTTTCTCAGTTACTCTCAAATACTTTAAAATTTTGAGCACCCCTGATCTAGATGTTCACGGTTTTACCTTTGCACCGCCCCCTCTAGACTATGAAGACATGTTGTTTCAGTTTTCAGGGCGGCATTCTGGCAGGTCTGAATGTTCTTCTTTTGCATATCACTTGCATTCGCAAACCTCGCTCACCGACGTTGCATAGCTATCCACTGATCGTCCTATTGCTTATCGCAATTCACACAGACGGCCTGATAGGATTGCATAACATTACACCCGAAATCTTGTGGTAATTGGTAGTCGGAATCTCTTCTTCATGAACTATTATGTTCTACAGGAGCTTCATTTCAGCATTACAAGTGGTGAACATTGTTACTGTCCATTAGGTAGTGGATATTTTCATATTCTCCAGATGGACTAAATTAAAAAAAAACAGCTATGTAGCTTGTTGTTCTTGTAACAGGTTTGCTATTGGTGAAAGTTCTTACCTGAAAATATTGGAAGAAGAAACAGAAAAAGGAAAATATATAAATACCTTTATTGGCTTCAGTCATATGTCTATGAATAGATGGTGTGTCTGTCGTGGGAGATGTGCTTGCATTTAAGATTACGGGGACAATGCACTCTCGAGACGAATTGAGAACGTTGCTATACCAGTATCTGGGTTGTGCCAGAGTCGAACTAATTTGCCAATGAAGAAGCTTTTCACTGTGCTAAATTGGAGTTGGTATAGGACTTTGTGGCATCTGCATCCATTTATGGCTTCGAAGACAGCTTGTTGATGCGTGGATTTTATAGCGTTGACGATGGTCGCTTGACCCTGTTCTGCGACGATGGAAGCTCTGGTTGTAGTTGTGATGATCGTTTAAAAAAATTTTGAAAAATATTTAGAAAATCTACACTACTTTTTGTATTCTACGTTACGTTCCCCAGTAATCATTGCTTTATTCATACAGCTGACAAAATTCTGAGAGAATACAAACAGCTGACAATATTTATTTTCTCTCAGCCAATCAAAACAAAACAAGCAATTTTTAACCCACCTTCGTACATATCAGAATTTTCAAACAGAAATAAATAAGAATGTACGAGTCTTGCCGGTGTCTACTGTAGGGTTAATCATAAATAGAAACAAATGCAAATTCATTCATAACTTTTTAATCGATTGAGTTTAGAAGTTTTTAATTGTGAGGTCGGATCAGAGGCTAAAGTTCGAGTAAAAAATGAGTAAGTAAATATATAGGTGTGTAAAAGGAACCATAATAATTTGTTTGCATTCCCAAATAAATAGGTTTTCTACCAGATTCTGATAGCGAAGATGAATTACCACCAGGATGGGAGGAACAGGCCACTGAGAATGGCTATGTATGCTATATAAAGTAAGTTTAATAACAAAAATAGATTTAATATCCTTCACCAATACGAAAGTTTATTACAACCTATAATACCGGTATATAAGAACTGACTTTCTTTAGTTGACTGGATATGTTCTGATGTATGGTGACCGTTTCATCCATTATTCACATTTATTTTAAAATCATTTCCAAATAGCAAACAAACAAATGTTGCCCAAATGACACATCCCCGTACGGGACGTTCTAAACGTATGACAATGGAATTGCCCCTGGGTTGGGAGAAACGTTTCGAAGAGGGTACCCAAAGAACCGTATTTTTCAATACCACAACAAATCAGACAACTTATATGGATCCACGCCTGGCATTTGCATTGGAAGAGCCTCCAATGAATATATCACAAGTACGACAACGTTTTGATGGCAGCACCAATGCCCTACAAGTTTTACATGGTAAAGATCTTCATGGTCGGCTGGCTATTGTGACAGGTGCCAATAGCGGTATTGGTTATGAGACAACACGTTCATTGGCATTTCACGGATGCGATGTTATTATGGCTTGTCGTAATCGTTCAACCACCGAGGAAGCAATCGAACGTATTGCCAAAGATCGAGCTGCTTGTCGTAATCGTTTACGTTGGATGGAATTAGATTTGAGTTCATTCAAATCGGTGTGTTCCTTTGTCGAACATGTAAAGCAAAGTGTTAAGTAAGTTGTCTATTTTATAATTATTTACAAATTTCTATTCTCAAATTACTAATTTTTCTTCGTTTACAGACACATTGATATGTTAATATTGAATGCTGGGGTTTTTGCATTGCCCTATACCACCACTGAAGATGGTTTGGAAACAACATTCCAAGTATCGCATTTATCCCACTTCTATATAACGATGCAGCTGGAATCGTTATTCGATCATAACACACGTATTATTGTACTTTCATCGGAATCCCACAGGTATGAATAGTTTTAAGTACCAACGCGACTTATTAAAGGAACGAAGCTTTATATTAATATCACCCTGATTGCAAAGACCCCTTTCGGTAACAATTTGCGCACTCCATTTGATTACGTTTTTTGTGTACTGTGATAAAGGACATAATAATTTTGACGAAGTACCCTACCTATAAAATAGGTGCTCGACACATGACATGGATTTAAATATACCACAGTAGTTATACCCACTATCAAATATACGAAAAGTACTAAACTGTACTAAATTTGGTAAAATTTGAAGTATGTCTATTAAATTACTAATTATCGTGGTACAATTTTGATTTGGCTGGAACACTGAATTTTGGAAATAATGTTGCTGTTGGAGTTTAGGATTGAGGTATAGATGTAATTTTCGACATTCATACTTATGGGTACTAAATTGTACTAAATTTGGTACAATTTGAATTTTGGAAGAACCTATAGAGCAGGAATCCTGAAATTTGGATCACAACTGGGGTGTAGGATTAGAGTATCTAGGAAATTTTGGAAATTCTTACTAATGTGTTTTATAGGGTACTAAATTTGGTACAAATTGAATTTTTGGTGGACCGATAGAGCAGGAATCCTGAAATTTGAAGTCAGGATAATCGTTGGGGTGTTGGATTAGGATATGTGGGAAGGTTTGAAATTTGTACTAATGTGTACTAAATTGTACCAAATTTGGATTTGAATGAACAGAATAACTGGAACACAGAATTTTGGAAATATGGTTACTGATGGAGCGAACGATTAGGGTATGGATGTAGTTTTAGAAATTCCTACTTGTGAGTACTAAATGGTAGCGAATTTTGTACAATTTGAATTTTTGGTGGACCGATAGAGCAGGAATCTTGAAATTTGGGGTTGGGTCATTGTTGGGGTTGTAGGATTGAGGATTAGAGCTGGAGTTTTGAAAATAGGAATTATGATTACTATTGGAGTGTAGAATTGGGGTATGTAGGCAGTTTTGGAAATTTGTACTAATGTGTATTTAAATGGTACTAAATTTGGTACAATTATATTTGGGTGAAGCTATCGGGTTGGAATCCCGAAATTGGAAAATATGATTTCTATTTGATTTATATTAAAGTGTACTAATTGCTACTATTATGTATTATAAAAATCATAAAATTGGGAATTAGTTTTAGAAATTAGTACTTCAAGAGTACGAAAGGTAATAAATGGTATTAAAATTAGTATATAGATAAATTTATATTGCGGTCAGGATTGGTGTGCATTGTTGAGAAATGGAGGTAGTACAATAAGATAACAAAGGAACTAAATGGTACTAAAATTATAATTGTGGTCAATATTGGTGTGTAGATTAATATGCTTTTCTGACTATGCAATTCTCTGTGAATTGCATTTATAGCTAAGTAGCTGACATATGCTAGTAGTCAATAAAATAAATAGTTTTCACACATCTTCAAGCGGGTATATAACTATATTTATATACGGTAGTTATATATTGCCAATAGATTCATTGCCAAGATAATTGCGTTAAGCTATATAATCCCTCTAGATTTACATCATTTATTTTAGTTATTTATGGGTATTATGAATGAGTGAACGTTTTTACGATTTCCTTGTCTTCGGTTGGCAACGCTGATAATATTGTTTTATAACATAGTAATGCATGAAATTGTAGTATACTTTTAGGCGCTGTCATTTTAATAGTTTGGCGTTATTTGTGTTAATCAGTTAAGATTATATTGATTTCTAAAATATTTCTTACAAAATTCACGCTTACATATATTTATGCGTAAATATCTTAAATATTTACGCATAAACATACGTATTATGGCCCGTTAAACAGATTTGAATTTTCGTTTTAAGTTTTAGTAAAAACGTCGTTAAGTCAACCACATCGAACTTTTTATATTTTCCACTATAAAGTACATAGTTAGAATACGGGAAATTTATCAGGACTTTTATACGGGGCTAAATCATATTAAAATATTGCTGGCTGGTCTGTCGTTATATACAGATAGGTCGAAGATAGAGGAAGGCACTGGTGCAGGTGTTTACTGCAAAGAATAAGTTATAAATAACTCATATAAACTAAACGATCTCTGTTGCGTATTTCAGACAGAAATCCTAGCAATCACAAAATCGGCTTACATAGTCAAAATAGTCAGGCACAGGTTGTGTGCTATTAATTCAAAAGATGATCTTGACTGTAAAGGTGCTCTGCATGATATACGATAGAGCCTTGGGTTCCAGGTGACATACAAGGAAATGTCTTTGTGCATATGTTTGTAACAGGCAAAGGGAACGAGATAGACACATCGTTTCCACGACAGAGGGGTCTACGATCCGAATCGACCCGAGTCTTACTCGGCCAACGTCTGTCACCTCAGCCCATTGTGTAAAAGCAATAGGGCTGCTACAACAACAACAACAACAACAAGATAGACACATGGTTCCTTTTGAGAATATGCATAGAATAACTTTCTAATAGCCTAGACAGACGACAGCCTTAATTTGAATTAACAGTCTTAATTCAAATTAACTTGAACATTATCCTCAATTTTATGTGTTGTAAATGCACAAAATGAAACTGAATTTATACTGAATTAAGCAATTTCAATATGGCAATGCTGTAGAAAATAAATTGATTATTGTCAAATTTGTTTACGTTTATGAAAATAAAAATTAGAAATAAAGGCAAAATACAACATTCCCTCGAGCTGGGCGCTGTTTTATCATCATTACAGCTGTTATTCGCCCTGTCTGTCGTGTATCGTTTTCATAAAGATGTAATCCTAAAAAATATTGTAAAAAATGTCAATATTTTCTTCCTACACACAGACAAACAATAGTTTTGAAACAAAAAAACTGGATCATAAATGCAGAAACTCTCGTCTGTCAGGGGTAAATATTAATTCAAATTAAGAACTATTTAATGCAAATTAAGGCTGTCGTCTGTCTTTGGTATAAGTCGATTTATGCATGTCCGTCCGTCTGTCGTATTTTTAATTCGAATTGGATGAAATTTGGCACAGCTCATTTATTTGGCCCAAGGACGAACCCAATTGAAATTGAGAAAAATCGGTTCAGATTTATTTATAGCTCCCATATATATTTTCGTCCGATTTTAGGTAAATAGTGCACCAAAGTCCCTATATATCATTCGATTTGCACGAAATTTGGCATAGCGTACTGAATTAAGTCTAGAACGATGTGTGTTAAATTTCGTGAAAATCGGTTCAGATTTAGGTATAGCTCCCATATACAGTTTTGTCCGATTTTATGTAAATGGTGCACTAAAGTCCCTTAATATCCTTCGAATTGCACGAAATTTGGCATAGCGTACTGAATTCAGTCTAGAATGGTGTGTGGTAAGATTCGTGAAAATCGGTTCAAATTAAGATATAGCTCCCATATATATTTTATGTAAATGGTGCACCAAAGTCCCTATATATCCTTCGATTCGCACGAAATTTGGCATAGGGTACTGAATTGCGTGTAGAACGATGAGTGTTAAGATTCGTGAAAATTGGTCCAGATTTAGCTCCCATATATATTTTTCGTCCGATTTTATATAAATGGTGCACCAAACTCCTAATGTTTGTCCGATTAACACGAAATTTTGCACAAATTGAGACTTGAATGGCGTTATTGCATTTTGTTGAAATCGGCGCAGATGTAGCCATAGCTTCCTTATGTATTTCGAACGGGTGTCAGATTCTGATTAAATTTTTAACAGTGCGACGTACCTAATGTCGTGTATCAATTTTGATGTACATCGTTTTCCATAAATTTGTCCCATGGTACGCATACGACTGTAAATCTGCCCGAATGAAATTAAATTTTGCATTCGTTGCATGTCAATGTTCACTCGAAGGAACCATGAGTATGTTCCTTCGAGTGAACATTGACATGCAATTGTAAGCGTACATATGTACAATGTACCCAAAGTGGTGAAGGGTGTCAACACATTTTTTTTTTTTTTTAAAAATTCGGAAGAGCTACTGCAAGAAAGGCGGAAGCAGATGGTCAGCGTAACCTGGATACAGGAAAAACCATCTGGACGGAGTCCACTGTAGGGATCATAACAGGTCACTGCAGGATTAGATCACTCACTTTCAAATGGGACATAAATGAAGTGGATTGGACAAATGTGCGGAGTAATTCGTCTGCTAAACTACTGGTGAGATTTGAAAATGTTATATTACAGCCAAATCAATTGTAGAACGTGCCCAAGCTGATGTACTGAACATTTTTGGTAGGATAATTTGGGACTCAATGAGAAAAAAAATTGGAAACCCTTTTGTGCTGAAATGCGTGCCCAAAATCTTCGAACCCTCTCTGATTTTAACCGACAGAGGTATAGACAAACGAACGTAATTTATTCGAAATAGTATTTTAATTCTAATCAAGAATATAACCTTATAAATCCTCCAGTGAATATTTGCCTTCACCTAGAGTAAAGAGTATACAAATCAACGCTTATTGCACTGATAGCCTTTCACAAAATCTTAAGAGTTTTTGCTTTTAGCTTTGATCGTCCTTCAGAAATATGATTTAATAATTCTTAGCTCTAATAGTTCTGAAAAATATTGTTAAATAAATATATAAATATAAATATATATTGTTAAAATATATTTTCTATAATCAAGAATAAAAATGAGGTTATTATTTCTGTATTCTCTGATAAAATGTTAATCTATGTCGGATATTGAAGCCAATAAATCGAGTGGTTTCATATGTTAATACTTAAATCCCATTACATACAAATATAGGTCAAAATCCAAAAAATAGAAAGAAGCATGCATACCCACACCCGTAGTGTGTCTAATCTATTCCATATGGACTGGAGTGCAGTACAGGCAGTCAGTCCAAAATCCCATTAGAGATATGACATTTCATATCAACTGTCAAAGAAAATTTGTTGTATGGACATACATATATTTATTATAGTGAACATTTAACACCTTAACAGCCGCTCACGTGATGAACATGTGTACTTTGTACTATGT